GTAGAAACCCAACTGTTCTGGGGTCCACGGAGGTGGAACCCACCTACCCCTACTCGTAGAAGTCCGAGGCTCGGACTCCAAGACGTCGTCGTCCACGCCCTCAGCGACAGTGGGAGTGTCCTCCCGAAAAGCCCGACGTTGGCTGCGGGTAGAAAGGTCGTAATCTCGTCGTCTAGGCATGCTATTATAAAAATCTAAATGTTTAGCATCATTTCCTAAACATTTTTTAAGGTGCATATTTATAATAAAAAAATAAATATCTAAATACTTAGCATCATTTCCTAAGTTATTTAGTTGTTTATTGAATTATATGCTAAATTTTATTAAAATCTAAATGTTTAGCATCATTTCCTAAACATTTAATTCAAGTTGCATATTTAAATGTTTAGCATCATTTCCTAAACATTTAATTCAAGTCGCATATTTACAATAATAATCTGAATACTTAGCATCATTTCCTAAGTTATTTAGTTGTTTATTGAATTATATGCTAAATTTTTACCTCAAGGCAAAAAATTGGCAAAATTATGGTATTTAGTTTCTCCATGACTACAGTTCTCCTAGCCGCATGATACTATGTTCTCCATGACAATATAGTACATATGCAAAATATGAATCAACACATCATTTCACAAGATTTACCACCATTTTTCACCATTTCAAAGCATGATTATTATTTCACAAAGTAGCACCCAAAAATGGTGATTTGCTCAATTCTCTATCAAATCATGCAATTTTTGTCTCAAATTTCTCACAAATACACGTGTATACATATACAAATAAGATCATGGCAAGAATTTCAACATAAAGCTTCAAAATAAAAAAACCCCAAATTGATTTTTAGGGTTTGTCATGAAATTGTTTATGTGAAGCAAATTCAAACCAAAAATCAAAGGAAACTTACAGGAATGTTTGTAGAGGGTCAAAAATGAGGAGAAGATCGAGAAATTACAGCAAAATTGATGAAATTCGAACTCCAAAACTCGAAAAAATTTCAAGCCACCAGCGCGACTGCCGCGACACGGTCAGCACTAACCGTGACACGGAGAAGCAGTCCCGTGTCACGGCGACCTTCAAGGCTGACGGAGCTCCGACGATTTGGGCGGCAGCTCCGGGAAAGAAACAAAAACAACAAAAGCAACGGCAGACAGCAGCAGCAACAAACCGCAGCAAAACAAAAAAAAAAGAGAAAGAAGGAAAAAATCAGATCTGTGGACTAACCATGTCACGGTCGCCGTTACCGTGTCACGGTGAGCTTCGACGGCCGGCAGTTAACCTCAAGCGTGGCGCGACAATTTTTGGTAAGCAAGAAGCAAAAATGGTGAAGTGTGAAAGCAAGTATGAAGAAGAAATGTGAAATGGTGAAGTGTGAAAGCAAGTGTGCGAATTTAAAGACAGAAAAGGACAAAAAGAAAAGTGGTCGTTGCTTTAACTGGTTCAAACAGCGAAAAAGAAAAAAAAAGAAAAAATAGGAGTCCCGTGACACGGGATACTAGTCCCGTCTGATTGGAATCCCTGACCGTGTCACGGGAACTTGCTGACGTGGCACGACAAAACTGCATTTGGTCAGGGAATATTCTTGGCTTTTTGACCAGTTTGACTGAATTTCCGAGCTTATTGGGCGATTATTTTTCGCTACAGTTACGCGAAAAAATTCCAACTGATATTTAAGGGGGACTAAAATTACCATTTTACCCCTGGCAAGTGTCAAAGCCTATTTTTCGGCATTTAATATGGTCGGATGATCGGCTTAAAATTGTGAATCATCTGCGGCCCGCGCTCGGGGATAATCGAACCACCATACACTTATCAATTTTCAGCAATCGTCGGCTTTCCTCAGGCTTGGAAAGCGTTATCGGTGGATTTTTCTTCAAGTATAGAAAACCGCCAAGTCGGCTTTCCTCAGGCTTGGAAAGCGTTATCAGTGGATTTTTCTTCAAGTATAGAAAACCACAAAAATCCTTTGTCGGCTTTCCTCAAGTATGGAAGGCATTAGCGGTGGATTTCTTCAAGCATAGAATGACACCAAATTCGTTCGTCGACTTTCCTCAGGCATGGAAAGTATTATCCGGTAACTTTCTTCAGGCTTAAAAAGGTACCAAACTCTTCAATCGGCTTTCCTCAAGCATGGGAAGCGTTTCAACAAATGTCACTCGGTGGATTCCTTCAAGCTTAGGAAGTTGCCAAATTCGTTTGTCACCGACACACTGGTGTCATATACGTATTCTATCCCTTTACTCTTTTATCTGTAGAACTAACATTTTTCTGCAGGTATCGGCGTATATAGAGTGATTTAGGATCGCAGAACGTCTTAAATCATTCACCGTCCCTATCGTCTACTTTGACTATCGTTTTCGAAACTGACGTTTCTACAAACTCAGTCAAATTGGGGGCTTCTATAGACACATAAAAATGTCTCCCCAAAACCAAACCCGATGATAAATAACCTTTCACCGCCACTATTGGTCGGGTTTAGTATTTAATCCTGAGAGTGCTTGAAAAATCGTATTTTATTAAATTCATACCTTTGAAAGGTCCATGGATTAGTCTTGATGTTTGGTAAAAGCACAGTTTTAATTTTAGCCCAAGCTTGTAAATTAATTTTAAGCCCAAACCTTTTTATTTTATTATTTTATTATTTATTTTTGGCCTAAATATTTTATTTATTTTTATTTCATTATTTTCTTATTTTAGCCCGAATAATTAAAGTCAGGAAAAAGCCCGAAATTATCAATCGACACTTAAAAAGCCGAAAGAAATTAGGGTTAAAAATTAATTTGGACGGAAAAATGGACTGGAACTGACCGTGTCACGGTACAGCCTGACCGTGAAACGGGAACTCTTGCCGTCTGACTTTCATAGACGTGTGCTCGACGGTGCAAGATACGCGTTTCATAACTCTTTTTATCTGTTTAACTAACGCTAGTTTGCATGTATAGGCGTTACAAGAATGGTTTAGGATCGCAGAACGTTCTGAATCATTCTACGTCCCTATCGCTACTTTGACTTTTGTTTTCGAAACTTGCGTTTCTCCAAACTCAGTCAAAGTGGGGGCTTCTGTAGACACCCATTTGTGTCTCCCCAAAACCAAACCCGGTGATGAGTACCTTTCACGTTGAATCATAATCGAATGAAGCGAAAGTGTGGAAAGTTTAGTGTTGCGGATAATTTTAATTTCTTTTCTCTTCTCTCAGTTTTTGAAAACTTATTTTAAGAAAACAGCCAATCCAGTTTGGTTGGTCCATGATATGGGTCCAATAGTAGTGTAGTTGGATGGGGCTTGACAAGAGCTTTCCAACGGTATATTACAAGCCCAATTCCGATGAATATTGAGGAAGTTATGGCCAATTTACTAAACTGAGTCTGGTTTGAGCCTTATATGCGGCCCAATGATCTAGAGGAGGGCCTAATATGATTTATCATTACTAATTTCATTAGGAATGGTTTAGTCTTCTAGATTCTTCTAGAAGGTTCTTTTCATTCCTAATTCTATTAGCATTGATAAATTGACTTTTGTTGACTTTTCAAAGTTTTAATTTAAATCAAATAACATTTTTGAGGAAAAGATACGATTTTATACTCCTGTACGGCAAACTTTATCTGATTTTAGAAAACGCGTCAAAAACAGGACTAGCGCCTAACGCCAGACATTGGCGCCTGGCGCTAGGCCTAGCACATGGCGCCAATGAGCTGGTGCTGGTGCCAGCTCTGTTTTTCGTGTGCCAATACTTTGTTTTGTTAATTTTATCTTTTTGGCTGATTTTCTCTATAAATAACGTATTAAAAACTCCGTTTTCATTCATCAACAATCAGTTTTCAATTACATTCACCTACAACCAGTTTTCATTCACCAACAATCATCAATTCTCTTATTCTCTCTTTCTCTCTTTTTCTAAAATTGCTTTTTACATACAAAATTCCACATTCACAAGATCTAGAAACATCTAGCCATATTCGAAGTTGCCTTCTCCCTAGAAGTGAAAGGTTTAATTTCTGAGGGTTTGGTCCCAAATCTCTATTTCAATTACTTAATTTAATTGTTTTGTTTATTATTTTCCTTGAAGTTACTAACGTGTGTATTTTGTTATTAGAAAGAGGTACGAGGCATCAAATTAAGTACTTTAATGGTTTTTATTGATTTATTGATGTTATGATGTAGAAAGTATATTTAGATTGTTATTATGATTCCTAGTATCATGTCTAGGGTAATTTTTAATATTAAATATGATTGTTATGATGCCTTTTATGTTTTTCCTAATATTTATGATTGTTAGTATCATGTTAGGGTTAAAGATTTGATTTTTATTGCTTAGTGACATGCTAGGATTTGTTATTAATCTTGTTAGTATCATGCCTAGGATCTTGCTATTTTTTTTTATTATGCTTTAATGTTAACATGAACATGATTATGAATATTATTATTATTATTATGATTAACATGATTATTATTATGTTTAATATAATTGTTATAATGATGTTTATTTTTTTATTATTATTTTAATTATGATCATGATTATTTTATTTATTATGTTGCTTGATATTATTATTGTTATTGCTTGATCACACTTTTTATGCATGTTTAAAGAGAATTTGTACTTGTAATCACGCTTAATAAGATAATTAATAATCTTGTTAGGGTTAATTTTGATTATAATTCAAGTGATCGCCAATTATAGTTTATTTGTGCATTATATTCAACCAACATAGATAAACAGGTTTAGGGTTAATCCTATTGATTGTATGTTAGTCAAAAAGCGCACATGAATACGATCAGAATAAAGTAGAGGCCCATTATTAGGGCAGGTTCAATCTCTTTTAGGTTGGATTTGTACCTTCATCCTCGAACCCTTATTTGATTCTAGACCTTATGGAGTTGACGATCTCTTGGATCGTTAAGGGGTGTAACCTTCACCCTGTGAACGGTTTACAAGTTCCTAAAACTTGTTGGCGACTCTTTTGCTCTATCTTCTTCCCTTTTGGACGCCACCGTACTTTAGTGTATGATCACAGTGGGGTTCAAGCTGGGGGTTAACGCTTGAAATTTATTCCCCAGTAGGTGTGTTATTTATTTTTGTCCATTATTAATGTACAAATTTGCTACAAAATTTATCACGCTAATTGATAATTAATTACTTCAGTGTTATGAAGCGAAAGGATGTGAGTTCATTGATACCAATGATCGATTAAGTCAGTTGCCACATGTTGTTTTGATGTCAATCATGTCCTTTTTAAGAATGAAGGAAGCCGGAAAAACTAGTGTTGTATCACAAACATGGTATAACTTGTGGCATTGTTTACATGTCTTGTTCTTCAAAGTAAATCCCTATTCTAAAATCAAAGATAAACTGTTACTTCCCGAACAAAGATCAGGTTCGATAAATTTGATAATTTTTATCCAACTATCAAATTGGTCTAATTCCAAGATTTTTCTTGGCACTACTATCTCCAATATGCCAAAGGTACAAGATTGAGTTCTCTGATTATGTCAGATTTATGTTTCTGTCATACCAAATTGTCAAATTGAGTTCTCTGAGGGTTTGTTAATATACCATTAACCGCTTAATTTTCTTCTTAAAGGTATATATAGAGCAATGTGTATTATGTGATTTATGTATTTTGATAGTAGATTGAAAAGTATTGGACTTGATTTAATTGATTCCCATCACACATTGGACTCAGTTACTAAATTTCTAAACCTTTCTAATGCTTCTTTTAATTTGACATAGTACCCTTAGGCTTAGGTGAGGTGTCAAAGCTCAATCAAAATTTTTCTTGATGTTAATATCTAAAAAGGGCTATTACGGGGATATAATAGCTCATAGTATGTTTGTGTACATTTTGTCTCTTATTGTAACCAAATTTGAATTGAACTTGAGCTAATTATGTTCCATTCCTTATTGACAACTTCAGGTAAGAGGTGATACTTCACACTATGATATTATTTTTAATTCTACTTCCTCTGAAGAACTCTCAACAGGATTACATTCAGGTAGAATTTCTTATTCCACATGATATTGGTATTTTCCAGAAAGATAGTTTACTTGCAGATGCATATTTCTCTAATGCATTTCTCCATTTTTATGTTAGTCAAAAGTAATTGTTCTCGAAGTGCAAATTTTAACTCTTAAAATTTATCGCTGTTTATTGCATGCATACTGATAAGAATAATTGTAATTTTGTTTGGAATATACGTTTATAATCCTGAACAAATTTGTTTGTTACAGAATATAATTCATCATATGAATGTAGCACATTTGCTACTAGGTATGTCTTAGCATAGTGCAGGCATACATATAGTACTTACATAGAGACTATATTATATACTAGAATATTTGATTAAGTATATTTGATTAAGTAAAGCTCAAAAAGGTTAATAAAGGGGAGAGGGAATGAGAGCTAAAATTCAGAACTAAAAATCAGAGCTTAAATTCAATACAGAAATCAGAGTTGAAATTCAAAACTGAAATCAGAGCTGAATTTTAGAACTGAAATCAGAATTGAAAGTCAGAACTGAAATCAGAGCTGAAAATCAGAACTGAAATCAGAGCTGATAATCAGATTATTATAACAAAGCCTAAATTAGAACATTTAAACTGCAACAGCTTTGTTGTCTCCCGGCTTCATTTAGATCAATATCTAACTGTTGAGTACCATTTGATTGTCCCATGATTATGGTTCTAAACTTCATAATGTCCAACTGCTGAGTACCAAATGCATTTTATATAAGTTATAGTTTAGAAGTCTTGTTTTCTGTGATTAAACTTATCTTTTATTTATTTATTTATTTATTTGCTTGCCTTTTCTGAATGTCATGTTTTGCATTGATGCTAGATTGACTGAGCCTGATCAATTATTATTTATAGATGCTTGTAGTACATGAGAAGAGTGGCGGATTTTGAGGACTAGGTACCTTGAAGATCATATCCTTACTGGAGTCGTGGATGAAGTATATTTCTAAGAGACTTTATGTATTTTATTTGTATATCATGGTTTCCTTTTTTTCCCTGCAATTTGCATTTAGACCACTCATAAGATGACTCTGAGTTAGTACACATCCCCATAATGGTCTGCATCAAACTTGCGAATTCTTTGAGCTTTTTTATCGTATATCATGGCTTTTGTTTTATCCCTGCAATTGCATTTAGACAGATTTTGAGATGACTCTGAGTTATACATGCACCAAACTTGTAACTTATTTGAGCTTTTTATTTTTATAAAGTATTATAAAAACGTATTTTTTTTTTTTTTTTTTACTCTATTTGCAGGAGTATTTGGCAAGACTTGTAGCCTACAACGATATAGAATTGGATGAGATTCGAGAACAACGGCTAAGTTTTTTAGGCTTAATTTTTTATTGAAAGACTAGTTATCTTATTAATCGATGTTATGATTAATCGCATTTAGCTTAACAAAATAATACAACACTTTTCTATATATCTATTTTTATTTAGCCTATTGGTTATTGTTATTACATTTCTAAATTATAAATCAATATTTTTTTTTATCAAGTTTAATTATTTTTTATTTTTTAAAAGTATAGTTAATTTTGTTGCATTGTATTGTTGTGGATGAATAATTCAAGTTATGTGGAATTATTTGGAGTGTTTGTATTGTATGTTGTGGGTGAATTTAAGTTATATGAAAGTATTCGGAGTACGTGTTTTGTTAGTTGATTTGTAACAGGTTATAACTCATTTGACGATGGGTCGTTTGGTGGTTGTATTCGAATCAAATATTTATAAAAAAAAATTATTTATTTATTAGTAACTAGCGTAATCTAATGCTAGTTACTAATAGTTTTTTTTTAAAAAATAAAAAAATATATTCGTAACCGGCGTTAAGATTTGCCAGTTACTAATAATACCCTAATTGTAACCGGCATAACTTAATGCCAGTTACGAATAGTATGCTTTCTAACTTGGAAAATAGACTTTTTATAACTGGCGTTAGGTTAAGCCAGTTACGAATAGTACAATTTTTGTAACTAACATTAGTCGGTTACGAATAATTTTCACTAGTTGTAACGGGGGCATTCGCAACCAACAATGCCAGTTATAAAAAGTCAATTTCGCCAGTTACTAATAGCACTTTTTCTACTAGTGTAATTATGCCAATTTATGCCAATTTACAAATGTTCCTCCATCTCTACTTTACACCTACACTTCACCATGGCCATTCTCTACATGGGGAATTGATATTATCGGTAAAATTACCCCTCCTGGGACAGGAGGTCACAAATACATCCTAGTAGCAATTGATTACTTCACAAAGTGGGTTGAAGCACAATCATATGCTAAACTCACTGCAAAACATGTAGCACTCTTTATCGAAAGAAATATCATTTGTCGATACGGAGTCCCACATGAAATGATAAGTGACAATGGAACTCACTTTCAAGCTGAGTGTGAAGAATTGTTACAAAAATATGGCATTCAACACCATCACTGTCCCCCCTATAGACCTCAAGCAAACGGAGCAGTTGAGGTAGCTAATAAAAATTTAAATACTATCAGCGAAAAAATGACAGAAAATTACAAGGATTGGCCTGACAAACTCCATTTCGCACTTTGGGGTTATCGCACGTCAATTCGCACATCAACAGGAAATACGCCATTCTCCTTGGTTTATGGAATGGATGCCGTACAACCTGTAGAGCTAGAGATACCATCTCTATGCATTGCATTAGAAAGTAAACTCGATGAAGTCGAATGGACTAGAGCAAGGTATAAAGAGTTAATTCTACTTGATGAATAGCACCCCGCTCTACATCATACCCAATGCTATCAAACCCGTATGGCTATACATTTTAATAAGAAGGTCAAGACAAGAAACATCAAAGTAGGAGACTTGGTGTTAAAAGCATTAAGGAAAAATGTTTTGGATCCAAGAGGCAAATTTAGGCCTAATTGGTTCGGGCCTTATATTGTCAAAACAATCCTATCAAGAGGTGCAGCTAAACTAACTTACATGGATGTCAATGAGTTCTAGAACATGACAAATCTTGACCAACTTAAAAAATACTACCCATAATTACTTGAGTAGGATACTCAAGAGAGCTACGTTTGGCCTGATTCCTTAGGAAAGGATACGTAGACAACCCTTTACAGGTGCGGCCACTTTAATTCTTGCAAACCTCGCATCCCATAAATAAAAAGAAATTCAACAGAAATTCATCGGAACAGCAGCGTCGCAGAAAAAGTATGTCGTCGGCCGACAGACTGCAGCGCAAGGCGACAGTGCTTGTCGTCGGACGACAGACGTCAACGGCCGGCGACAGCCACAAAACGGCGGCGTCGCTCTTCTAGGAGTACATGGGCAAATTTCTGTGTTTTTTGGAAAATTTTCGACTTCCGTACTCGAATAAATTTCTGGAAAATAAAATTTTCTGTTTTCATTGCTTTAATAAATTGAAATTAAAGAAGTTGATTTAATTAAAAAGATGAAATTTCATTAATAAAATAAAATAAAAATTACATTATTGATGGAATTTAAATAAAAGTTTTAAAAAAAATAAATTAACTTTAAATTTAAAGCTAGTAGGCATCCTTTAGAGGACCTACATTCAACTTTAGAGTAAATGGTTTCTCCCTTAGTTAGGAATCCATGTTTCTTCTCTACCCAAACCCTTCTTCTCTGAATTGTCAGCTTTTCGTTTCCCTTTATCCTTTGTAGAGTCTTTCTTCTTAGGCATCATAGGAGTTTTGAATTCAATCTTTTCACCCAAGTGTTCCTTAACAGGAATCACCTTGTCACCTAGACGATTCTTCACATTGGTTTCACTCTGATTTTTCTTCATGTCCTTTGAAGGTTTCTTGAGAAGATAACATCTTTACATCATTGGGCAAGGAAGGAGGAACCTTTTGGGTATTCACTTCCCATAAAGGTCTAGCGCTCCAATATGCATCAAATTTCTCTACTTCTTGTGAAACAGGGAATTCATAGGGACGACGAAGATCCTAGAAGGAATTGTTTAAAGTAGGCCGTAGTGTCTTTTTACCCTGCAGGGATAATAAAAAGTCATCTTGGTTAAGCTTGAAAGACGACGGAAAGGTTGCTTGTTGACACCAACCATCTTATCTATTTTCCACCAAGGGATGACCAACTTGATAGCAAAGTTGCAAGAAACAAAGACTTTTTTCTACTCATGGCGCCCCATCTAAGAGAAGCAATTCTTTCTCCTCGCAAAGCAATTTGGAGTATATTTTTCAACATTGTCAGGAGGACTATAAATTCTAGTCTCTCCATTAGCCATATATGCAAATAAATTCAATGCAAATAAATTAATATTACTATACAAAAATATGTTTTTGATTTCTGTAATTAAAAATATTAATTTTCTACCTGTAATAATATTGGAGAGCCCCGTAAAGGTGCTTTTGGATTTCTCTTCAATTCATCAAGACTAAACATAGTCTCTCCAACAATTAACAACATTGGATTTCTTTCAATTCAATTTGCTTCAAAATAGTTAATATAATTACTTGACCCTCATTAGTTCTACCACTAGTTAGAAGATATTGGTAAATCATGCAAAAGAGAAAAGCCCTTCTTCTATAAACATGAAAAGATTCAGAATAAGGTCTATCAAAGTAATGGCGTGCAAATTCTTTCAAATTAACTACACTACCATCTACAATATTTGTTAGATCTTTGTCTCTTAAATTAAAGAAGCGCTCAAAATCTTTATAATAATATTCATTTATTCAAGGGATTACCGCAAGATCTAATGAAGGGAAGCCTATGATGGCACCAAATTCTTCTAGTAAAAGGCTAATTTCATCACACCCTACTCTAAAACAATGAGTATCTATGTCCCAATATTCTCATGCGATATGAATAAAATCTATATCAAGATTTACCCCCTTAACACCATAGATACCTCCCATGTGAAAAAAGTCAAGTTCTTTTCTCTCTTTAGCAGTTAAAGACCGACACCATTCACGAGTGAAATTGGTAAAACTCTTAGTAACTAAAGACATGATTATTTGTTGAGAAACTAAGACTATGATTAATCTGCTAAAATTATAAAGAAATTCGTCAGATTAGGGGGCTATTTATACATAAAATCGATGCAGTTTCAATCCGGAAAGGATTCGGAGTCAGCATACTTCAGTGCCTAACGACAACTCTGTCGCCTTGCGACAGAGTTTGTCACTTGACGACAGCAGCAACGCCTGGCCCCAGCGCAAAACGCGTGGTGACACGTGGCGCTGCAGCCTTTTATCAACGAGCTATTCAAACCGCGTTTTTCTGGCTATGATTCGAACTCGTATAATGACTTTACGATTTTATCCCTTTCTACAAATACCCTTACATATTAGTTTCATATATTTTCCTTCGATTTTTCTTTTTCGGATTTATTCAGACTTAATTTAATTTAAGGTTTGTTGCAAATCCAATTTTATTTTTCATTTTTTCTTTTTGGGGGAGAAAGTCGGTTACCCTCCATTAATAATAAAAATGATGGAAAATTTTGCGCAAAATTAATTTTATCACAATTTTGCACACACAAATATGCACATAAAAATGAAAATTAATGCAAGATAAATAATACATAGATAATAATATGTATATACAAATATGTCTAATAAATGAGTCAATCAGGCAAAATCCTATACAAGTCAAAATAAATAAAATACACATGTACAACTACGGCGCTGTAGGATGCAGATGACGAGGGATGTTTATCATATCATAGAACTGCGCAGAACGAGGAGTATGCTCCTCACCAGCTCCAGTGTCTCTAGGAGGAGGAAAACTCAGCTTAGGACCCGTCCACCCAAGTTCTCCCTAATGAACCGACAAAGGCTGAGGCTGCTGCGATGACGAGCCGACCTCGTACATCCTACCACCTCTGGAAGCCGAGGTGGCCTCTCACTGGTCTACTGGCCCAGCCTGTTCACCCTCAGATGAAATGTCTGAGCCCTCCACCGCCTCGGTCCGGGCAGCATCAGATCGACCATTCTGACCGCAAGAACCAGTGCGGCGACGCCTTGAGCTAGACCTCGCCGGCTCTCTCCGGACCTCAGGTCTCATCCGGGTACGAGAAGGAATGGGTTAACCCTGCAAGAAGAAACCAAGTAAGAAGCAATCAAAATAGAAATATAAACAATGCGAAAATTAAGAGGAAAAAAAGCTGTGTCCTGAACAGCGTCGTTGTGATGACACGTAGCCACATTCCTCATCCGAATGAGCTGGCTCCGGAAGGCGTCTATGCACCTCGCCATTGCTGTAACCACCTCGCGCGATAAATGTCAAAGAAATGAAATTAATAACAATACAAGACATATATGAAAAAATAACAAGTAAATAAACTCACCCGAGTCTGGTGGTGAGGAATGGATCGCTCCATAAAGCGCTGGTCCTCAGGAGCCGAAGGAATCATCTCCACGATAGGCCCGTATGTCCCCTGGTTGTGGATGGACATACGAGGGGGGCATGAACTCAGTAGGCCCAGCCTGAGAAAAAGCAAATCAAAGTGAGTAAAATATCACTTGGGGGCTACTTAGCGAAAGGTAAAAGATAAAAATCATACCGCCGCCTCCGCCAATAGAACAGGGGCCGGAGCTAACAACGACAACAAATCCTCCTCGTAGCACCACCGTGGGATCGCATGAGATCGCCAAGGGGTACCAGCAGGCGACTTCTCTGACATGCTGAACAGCTTCACGTCATTGAACATGTGACGTGGCGGAGAAGAAGGGACGACAAAAATATCCGAGGAGTGATGAATAGCAACTCTCTCTCCTAGGTATGCCGCCTCCCCATATGTCCCTAGGAAGTAGCGACGCTCAGCAGTGTACTGCGCGGCTAGCCCAGGGACAACCAAACCGCCCCATGGCTGGTACAAAACCTCAGGCTCCTACAAAGAATACCTATAAGATAAAGATCTACTAAAA